ATTGCTTTCAATTAATACACATCTATAATATTTTTAATGAATATACATACGATATATTAATTATTTACAACTAATAGACATCTATTAGAAATATTTAACAAATTTCTTTTCTATATGTATAAAACATATTATATATGACTATTATAAACATATTACATGTTTATGAATTGCATATTTAATGACGAATGATATACGTCTAATAAACATCTATGAGAAGTTCAAAATCCGCGCATGCGTTATGCTGCGGACCATTGTGTGGTCCTTTGTCGTTACGTGCACACTCATGCTCGTGACTCGGACAGAAGCAAGTTGGAAAGCAAATAAAAAGCATAAGTACACGTAGTGTAAAGTGATAAGTTTTTCTACAGTCGGCATATAATCACATTAATCGGTAAGTTAATATATTATGTCGTATTAACATTTTAAGTCTTTTATATTCTCTAAATTTCACATGTTTCTAACAGAAATGTAATGAGGTTATATTAAGAACATATTAGTATATTTTAATTGGACGTGTATACGACTGACTGATCTTTGATTTGGCTATATTATTTATTATAAAATATATATAATATGTAAAAATTGTTTTAAAAAACTGTAAAAATATTTATTCAGAGAACATGTGAGAAAAAATAATTGAAAAAACGTCAAATAGACGTCTATTCGACATTTCTTCAACTATTATTTCTTACTGGTGCAAATCTCTAAAAGACGTTTTAAAGATATCTAGAAAATATATTTTTTTCTACATTTTTCAAACGTCTTCAACATGTTTTTTCGAAATTATTGCTGTTTGAAATATATTAAAAAATAATTTTTTGTGTTCTAAAGTTTTATTAAAATGATAAAATGCAAATATGTATATATTATATCTATTAAAAATAAAACTATATTTCTAGTAATATTAAATTCTGCAACAAATGAATAAGAAATTTAGTAGTAAAGTATATGCTCAGTTATTATATTTGTAGTATTTTTATGTTATGTGTGTGTTATTGTTTTATTGTTACATATTTCTGTGATCCTTGTTTTATTCTAAAAAGAAATAATTTTTTAAAAATATATTTACGCCTAATGTATTCATGTTTGTTTAGTTCTATAAATAAATATTAATATCTTTTATATTAAATACATTTCATAAATTAAATACATTTTATTTATATTTATTAGGTTATTGTAATAAGTCGAGGCTGATGCTGTAATAACTCTACTTTATTGAAGATTTGTAAATCAAGATTCTAATTCAAAATAATTTTCATTGGATTCAATATTGTTGCCAGCGATCTAAAGATTTCTTTATCTCTTCTTTAAAAAACGATTGTGGTTGAAATCAAATCTACTCTTGCATTCCGAAGTAACATTTTGATGTAAGTTATCATTGAATCTTAAAAATAGATCAAAACTTAAGAATGGATCGAAAGAGAAAAGCTGTCGAAAATGTGTCTCAAAGACATTTCCGACGACTTAAGGAAAAATGTTATGAACATTCTAAAGAGGTAGATCATGTTATCAATGTGTCAAATTTATTACCAATTGAAGAGAAACAGAATTCAGCTATGAATTCTGTATAGTTAAGTAATATTAAAGAACCGATATTATTAGAAGATAACAAGACAGCACAAAACGTAAATGATACAATAATAGATAATGACATTGTATTTCCACAAGATTCTGACAAAATATTAATTTCTTCATGCACAACCAACAATGGCAATTATCATTCTCAGAGTGAAATATGCACTGAGGCATACAATCTGAATTGTATAAAATTACAATTACGTCTATGGAGTCTATTAAACAATATTCCACATACATCTGTAACCAAGGGCGTCCGCAGAGGGGGGCAAACCGGGCACTTGCCCCCTCTAGAAAAGCAAATTTTTTCACAAATTTATGTTTTTTGAAGCTTGTTTGAAATTTCTGCTTAACAAATTAAATCATGTATTAATTTGTGAAAAATTATTAAAATTTGTTATAACGATAAAGCTGCCCTTTCATACAGCGAATTTTTCGTTGCGTGAATTTGCACTTTAATTTGTTATTCGCTAGCAGAGTTGCAAGATTCCAACCTGTGAGTCACAGAGTCATGGCGATGGGGAAGCACGCACACAGCGAGAAGGCATGTCCGTAGATGCCGGAGCGCTCACGGACACGTCTTCTCACTGTATGCGTGCTCCCCCACCGCTATGACTCTATGACTCTCGAGTTGGAATCTTGCAACTCTGGTCGCTAGGCGTCGCATGCTTACAGCGCTTTACTCGTATGCAAAGTACAGCCATGAATATTATAAGTAGACAGCTCTAGAAGCTGTTCGTTTACGCAGTGTGAGTTACGTTACGTGGCTCTTCTTTCTCTTACGCTGATTTTTAAGGCCCGCGACTATTTGCGAATATTAAAATTTTATACATTGATTAATTGTTTAATCCTTGAAAATGAATAAAGATATAAGATCGTTTTTTAAAAAACCCAGACTTGAAAATGATAGTTCTCAAGAAGAATCTTTTCCTTCCACCTCCATGCCATCAGTTAGTGTTTGCTCTTTCAATGATCCTTTCACATCAGTTCAAGATACTCTTACTGCCGATATAATCGTTTCTCAAAATTTTGAAAAATACGACATAGGACATTATATTAATTTAAAATTATCTAACGAGCAGAAATATGACGTAATGACTAATATTTGGGTTCCTTCGGAAAAATATAATTTTAAAAATGAAGGGCAACAGCGAAATTTTCGTGCCGATTGGTTAAAATTATATTCATGGTTAGCATACTCTGAAATTTCTGGAGATGGTTTGTGCAAATTTTGCGTTATTTTTAAACAAAATGTACATAGAGGTTTTCAAGGTGCTTTTATTATAAAAGCGTTTAACAAATATAAGAAATTCCACGAAGCTGCACATAATCACGAAAAATCACAATGGCATATAAGTGCCGTTGAAGATGGTACGAATTTTCTTCATATTATGCAAAATAAAAAAGTAAGCATTATTAATCTAATTTCCGATTCCAGAGCTAAATTAATTGAAATAAATCGAAAGAAACTAGAGCCCATTATATCTACAATTGTCTTTTGTGGTACACATGATCTTCCATTGCGCGGTAAAAAATCGGATAAAGGAAATTTCAGAGATTTGCTGAAGTTTCGAATTGAATCTGGCGATAATATTTTAAAAGAGCACTTGAAAGGGCCAAAGAATGCTCAATACACTTCAGTGAGAATTGAGCATGAGTTAATCAACATTTGCGAAAAAGTTATTACTAAAGATATAGTGAAATTAGCTAATGCATCCGAAGGCTTCTCGATTTTAGCCGATGAAACAGCAGATATCGCTGGAATTGAACAACTTTCATTTGGAATCAGATTTGCTTTTTTTCAGAACGAAAAATTGTCCTTGCATGAAGAATTTTTGGGATATGTTGCATTAAAAAAATTTGACGCTCATTCCATTGCAAATGTGATTTTGGAAAAATGCCAAAAATTAAATTTAAATATGGAAAAATGTGTGGATCAAGGCTATGATGGGTGTTCAACCATGGCAGGAAAAGAAAATGGAGTAAAAGCCATTATTCAATGCAAGTACCCAAATATTAATTTTATTCATTGTGCCTCACATAGATTAAATTTAGTAATCAATGACTTGAATGCACTACCAGAAATTCGAAACGCAATTGGAATAATCAAAGAAATAATTAAATTTTTCAGGGAGAGTAACATTCGAAGACAGTTAGTTCCTTCAATTCCAATGCTTTGTCAAACACGATGGTGTGAACAACATAAATCTATTCGTAAATTTAAAGAGGGATTTATAAAAATTTTGGACGAACTTGATAAAATTTCGAATAGTACAAGCGATGCTAAAACTAAGTCCTATATGCTCTATTGTGCTGCCACAAAGCCATCGTTTGTGATATGTTTATTTATTATTTCCAAATATTTAACTTTATTGGAACCAATTACACTTAAATTGCAAGATAAAGACATCAATTTAATTGATGCTCAAAATCATATTAAACAATTGGTTACAATATTAGACCACGATCGACAGAGTGATGTCTTTACACATATTTACAAAGAATGTGAGGATTTGTGCACCGAGCTTGATATTCAATTAAAAATACCTCGAACTGCTATTCACCAAACGAAAAGAGCAAATTATAATACAAATGACCCACATACTTATTATAAATTATCAGTATTTTTACCATATATTGACTCAATTAAAACTTCATTAAATACGAGATTTTCAGAAGAAAATACCACCGTTTTTCAGCTCTTTAATATCTACCCACAAGAACTACGTAAAGTTAATCACGATCAATGCAACAATATATTTCAATCTATCGAAAAGACTTACAAATGTAATTTAAACGAAGAAAAACGTGTTTAGTATCAAATAGTAAATTCAAACCCTGATTTATCTACAGCTGAAGATATGATTAAAGCTGCAAAATTTGTACCTAAGATACAAACTTTGCTTCTTAAATCTTTAGCTTTACCGGTAACTACAGCCACCATTGAACGATCCTTCAGTACGTTACGGCGAGTAAAAACTTGGCTACGATCAACCATGTGCCAAGATCGTATCAGCGGTCTTTGCATGCTAAGTGTACACAGAGAACAAATAAAAAAGGAAGGTCAAGAATTTATTAAAAAAATAATAGATGATTTTGCTCTCGATGATAGGAGAATTGCACTTGCATTTCCTAACACAAATATAACATAAAATTAAAATATAATTTTAAGATCAAAACGTATAATATATAATATATAAAAAAAATTAAAATTATTAAAAATAATTTAAAAACATTAATACATTTTTGTTAATTTTTAAAATTAAAAATAAACAACAAAATTTTAAAAAAAGTATAAAATATGTATAAATTACTAAAAAAAATTTCAATAAAATTTAAAAAATTAAATAAAAAACAATAAAAAAATATATATATAATTAAAAAAAAATAAAAAAAGATAACAAATCTTTCTCTGCATACACCTACCTTGTCGCGGTGAGAAAGCTTCTTAACGAAAAGGTGTATATGATTAAAGAAACAAAGAAATGTATAAAATTCTTAAAACTTTGGGATGGAAAAATTGCCCCCTCTTGAAAAAAATTCTGCGGACGCCCTTGTCTGTAACTTCACTACTATCAATTTTAAAACAACACCCATGTTTTAATAATTTGCCAAAACATGCAAAATCTCTTTTAAAAACTCCTCGTACAACAAATGTTCGTGAAATGTCACCAGGACAATTTTGTTATTTTGGCATTGTACCTATTCTTGAATCTTATTTTCGACGTTACGAAGATAAAAATGAAAATCATATAAAACTTCAAGTAGGCATCGATGGGCTTCCTATATCTCAATCTTCCGAAAATCAGTTGTGGCCAATACTTGGTTCAATTGTACCATTTTCTGAAGTATTTTTAATTGGCTGTTACTTCGGAATGTCTAAACCATCTGATTCTAATTTATTTTTAGAAGACTTTGTGGAAGAATGTAAAATTCTATATGGGAGCGATGTACTAAATAATAACAAAGTCATAAAATTTTCAATTCATAGTTTAATAGCAGATGCTCCCGCAAAATCATTTCTAACTTCAACTAAAGGGCACAGTGGATATCACAGTTGCTTGAAATGTAATATTGAAGGCAGTTATATTATGAATCGCGTTTGTTTTCCTGGTACTAATTTTCAAGAAAGGACAAATGAACTTGCAAGTAAACAATTTGATAAAAATTATCACAAAGAATATTGTAAACTAGTAGAAATACCAGATTTTGGTTTAGTTACCAACATACCTTTAGATTATATGCATCTAATATGTATTGGTGTTGTAAAGAAATTGATAAAATTATGGCTAAGTGGCTCTTTAAAAGTAAGATTACCAGCATTTAAGGTAAAACAAATATCCGATTCATTAAAAAATATAAGAAGTTATATTCCAAAAGAATTTTCGAGAAAACCTCGTAATTTGGAAGATGTTAGTAAATGGAAAGCAACTGAATTGCGACAATTTTTATTATATACAGGGCCATACATTCTGAAAAAAATTTTACCATTAAATATATACACAAATTTTATTCTTTTACATACTGCCATTCGAATTCTAGTATGCCCAAAATTACATATAGAAAAAGTTAATAACGCTGAAAAATATCTAAAACAGTTTGTAAGATCTTTCGAAAAAATATACGGCAAGCACTTAGTGTCCCACAATATTCATTATTTATTACATTTGACTAATGATGTACGAAAATTTGGGACACTTGACACATTTAGTGCATTTAAATATGAAAATTATATGAAAACTATAAAAGCCTTGATTAGAAAAGCTGATCGTCCACTGCAACAATTATGTAATAGATATGCAGAACTTAAAGCATGTGAAGATATTAATGAAAAATTGTCACATTTATCTAAACAAAAATTTCATGGTATACATTGTAAGGGACCTCTTCTCTATGGCTACAATAATCCTCAATATTCGAAAATATTTTTCGAAAAATATATCCTTACAACAGAAAGTCCCAATAACTGTTGTATTTTGAAAGATGATTCTATTATTTTAATTTCAAATTTTGCGACGTCAATATCTGGAAACAGTTATATAATTGGAAAAAAATTTTCCAAAAAAAAAATGTGTATATAAAAGTCCACTACCATCATCATTATTCAATTGCTTTCGAGTTTCAAATTTATTGGAATTTGAAGCCTGGTCTGTTTCCGACATTGAAAAGAAAATTATGTTATTTCCTCAAGGAAAATATTATGCTGCAATACCTTTGTTACATTGCGAAACATCATCGTATGTATATATTAGTAAAATATCCTTTTATAATACGTCAATATATTATTAAATAAAATATTTTGAAATTATATTTTTTATGATATTACGTCATATATTTAAAATTATTTATAGTTTATAAGCAAATTATAAGATTTGTTTACTATCTTGGCTGCTTTCACGACAGAATCAAAATAATCTAGATTAAAATGGTCCTGCACTGTGATTAGTCAAATCTGAAATTCTGTTGAATGAAATTCAATGAAATTTCAGATTTGACCAATCACAGTTCAAGATCATTTTAATCTAAATTCATTTTGATTCTGTCGTGAAAGCAGCTCTTGAATTTGATTTTATAAACTTCAATTTATTACATAAATTGAAAAGGCATATTTATGTTAACTTTATTTCATGTTTTTTTTATTGTTGACAGCAAATCTTAAAATTAGAAAAGCACTTATGATGAGCAATTAAAGTGTAAAATATCATGTAGTTGAATTTGAAGATGGGCTTGAAATTGTTCCATCTTCATGGGTAAAAGATAAGAATATATGCAAATATCCTGCAACTAAATCCAAGAAAAAGAAAGATAAAGTCGTTATCAATAACGTACAACCGGATTCAAGTTGGAAAAATTATGCCATTTTAAGGACATTTGCAGTATGCGGTAATGTATAAATTATGAATTGTTCAAAATACACATATTACAATAAAAAGTCGTAATAAATTCAAAATAAAATTATACATATGAGTGTGTGTATAGTATAATAAAAATAATATATGTATCTTTTTTATTGTAGACACTTATGAAGAAGCCTGTTTAAAATGTGATAAAGCAGAATATGTATCAGATATGAACACAGATATGGATGACAATGACAAAGAAAACAATTTTATACAAGAATTAACATGCCAAAACAAAGAAAAGTATATAAGAAAAGTATATAATAGTGAAATATATAAAAGTTCATTTGAAGGTATTAATTAAAAATATGTATAATTATTTTTATTCACTATTTCAATATAAATAAATTATTAAAAATTTTTATAAAATAGAAATATTAAAGTAAAGTTTCATGTATAAGTAAAAAAATCGTAATTATTAAGAAACAGTTCTATATATTAAAATTAATTTGAAGTGTATATCAAAGTCGCCAGTAATAGAAAAATGAGAAAAAATTATATAAAACGACCAAGACTGGACAAAATAATTCTTTATTGATTCAAATCATGGCGTTGCGACCTCTGGTTTAGGTCTTTATCAAATAAAAAAATATGTTTAAGATGACATTATAATTATAAATTGCGAGATGAGAATCACTTATAATATATAAAAACTTGTGTCTTATAAAACAACTTGTCAGTAACTGGCAAGTCGTTTTATAAAACAAGTTTTTATATATTATAAGTAATTCTCACTTCGCAATTTATAATTATAATGTCATCTTAAACACACTTTTTCATTTGATAAAGACCTAAACCAGAGGTCGAAACGTCATGATTTAAATCAATAAAGAATTATTATATATTTTGTCCAGTTTTGGTCGTTTTATATAATTTTTTCTCATAGTTCTATATATGTATGTGATTATAAATAGTTCTGATCAATTATCAAGTAATTTTAGTCGTTGGCCATTGTTTATAAAAGTTATAAACATATGAATCTTAATATTATCCTACGACCCTACTTGCATAAAAAATGAGGTTGGCAATCATTACATTTATTAACTTTTGATACAAACAAATCTTTACCTCACTGACCGATTTTCTGCATAAAACTTGATCTATAATCGTTTGGCTCCATTTGGAACTTCATGCGATATAATAACAGTACAGTCTCCTTCCTGTATACTCCACAATCCTATCAAATTTTTATTTAACCTTAAACTTCTATGAAACAAGTTTAATTACTATAGGTAATTTTCCAATATATAAACAATGACCAACGCGACCGTTCAAAGTCATTAAAGGTTGCTCAAAATCATGACAATGACTGCGTTCAGCAGAAAAAGCAGCTTTACAATTGTAAAATTTGTAAATCTGATTGGTGTATGCTCTTAATCTTAGCTGAATCTAAGAGCATCCACCAATCAGATTCACGAATTTTACAACAGTTGTAAAGCAGGTTTTTTTGAACGCAGCCATTGATAAGTCCAAATTAATCATTGAAACTGAATCCGTTAAAACAAATAATTTCATAATTATTAAATATACGTAATATATAATTATTAATTAATTAAAATTAATTATTTATTTTATGTAATATACATTTTATGTAATATACATTTTTTACATAAAATTAAGAATTTAACATTGATCTTCAAGATTTAAGTATGCTAATGACAAACACAATAACGGAAATAAGAGATTTGAAAATAACCACAAATATTATGAGTACCGACATAAAAGAAATAAAAATGGATATTACAAATATAAAGATGGATATCCAACGCATGTGTGGTATAATTTCGAAATTAAAAGAAAGTCAAGATATTACTCTACCGCTATCAAAATGTACCGTTGCTTCACAAGCTGTTGTTGCTTTACATTCGATTTTTCCATTAAAAACGAAAGAGCAATTACATCAATTGGAAAACGAACTTGAAATCGTCGAGAAAGAAACTCAATTGGTAAGTTTTTATTTTTTTAAATTATAAATAATTAAATATTACATATATGCATTATTTATTATTATTTTATTGAAAATAGAGTGCGTTTTTTGATACAATTGGAGGACTTGATCCAAATGAAACAGTGAAAAGATCTCTAATAAAGACATTCAGTAATAAACCAGCCACTGAATTTTCATGGCAAGGCCGTAAAGAAAAATATAAATTATGTAATTTAAAAATAATGGACATAATGTATCGTAAGTAATAGAATATATCATTTCAAATAAATATATACATATAGAACATATTTTAAATAATAATAATTTTTTATATTGATGTAAAAATATCGTAAAACAAAATTATTATTACATTTTTATTCTAAATATTGTGAATACATTATCAGACTTGGTAATTAAACTTAATATATTATATAAAAAAATATATATATACATATATTTTTTATATAATATATATATGTATGTACGTATTTTGCATATACATTCTATCAAATTAAGTAAGTTAATATTGCTGTATAGGTTCACTGCTGGCTCGTTGTATTAATATGGATGAAAAAAAATTCCAATTTCGTGTGCAAGAATGGTTCAGACAAGCTGCAGCACGCTATCGCAATGAAATTCAGAAAGATACAGAAAACGCCATTATTTTGGAACTACAATGTGGAAACGTTGACGTTGCAGAAATCGCAAATTGCATGCAGCTTAATCCTACAGCATCAGACAATGAAGAACAAGTAAACTAGTAAAACGTTATATTTTTAATTATTACATTTAAACATTTTATCAAGTTCGATATACAAAAGTATAAAAGTATATGTATAAAAGTCGAGAATAATATATAGAGTGACTTAGTTTCTTTTAAATTAAAAAATTTTTTTATAAAATGTTCATAATATCGAAAATGTTCTAAGGACAAAAATATTAAGGCACTTACTGCAAACTAATAATATGGAAATCAATAGTTCTTGAGATATTCAACTTTTAATTTAATTTAGCATTTAAATTATTAAGCAATTATATAGGTTTATATATAACGTTGCTTCTTACCAATTACAGGTTTTAAATAATATTTTTTCTTATTTTTTTTCTTTTTTTGCTGATTTTTTTGTTTATTTTTTTATTTCCTCGTAGAACATATTGATATATATAAAAACTAATTCAGTAATAAGCTTCGATCATAAGTGCATAATAAAATATTTTATTTATAGTAAATATTCATAGAATAGATATATTGTTGAGAATATTATTTTTTTTATACTGTCATTTATTGAATCAGTAATATATAATATTGATATGTGCAATATATAATATTGATTTGTGAATGTGCCATAATTTTAAAGAGTGCAATAAAAAATGTTAGTTTTGTTTTCTTTTTATTTTGCACAAAAATTTAAGCAATAAAATTTATTTTCAATGAAAACTGTGTTAGTTTAAATAATTCCTTTCCTATAGTATTATAAATAAATATTTGTGTTAGATTATTTGATAATAATTGACAAAAATTGAATACACTCATTCATTATAAAAACAGCCTTGTAATAAATGTACAATACAAAAAACAAATTTATTAAAAAAAATAAATAAATGCATGCTACTGAAATAAAGATGAAGTTAAATGTTAGATCATAAATGATTATATCTATTTTATATTAATCTACATATAATAATTGCATCTAATGTGTGTGTGTGTGTTAAATTATAAATATAATCTATGTATAATCTAAATAATAAGTAATCTTCAATAACTTCTATAGAATTATAGAAGTTATTTATAATAGATGCGGCTATATATATATATATATATATTGCAAACAAAGTGATAAATATAAGGCCAACTTATCGAGCTGAATATTCGAGATGTTCAGTCAACTACCATTTATTACATGTATAAATTATAAAACTACAGTCATTATATTAAAACTAACGCAAATTACAATCATTCTATAAACGTTTCGACCGCACGCGGTCTTCTTCAGTATAATTATTGAAATATAAATTCTTACAATTCACATAATATCGAAATTTAATTATAGTTATTCAGAATCAAGAGTTTTTGAGCAATTAACGCGTGTTTCAATCCGTCCTGTCCAACAATGTTCGCCTCGATATGATCCCTGATTTTGTTCAGATCTCGGATAGTTTCATCGTTAATATGCGAGAAATTAACCCGTTCCGTAGGCGCTGCGATTAATAAAAATTACCGATCAACGTATGTCCAAATTATAATATGTATCCCCTACAATTGGTAGTATGCTTACCTATCATCGTTCTTCTTGACAATTTTGCTACTTATTAACAGTTATTAAGGATGACACATAACAAACCAACAATACAGAAAGACAGCTCATTTTAAACTCTACTTGATCGGAGAGCGTGCGTGTTTATATATGATCTAATATCTATGTTTTACTCGTTAATGTCCTATTTGTCCTATTATTATTTCTTGTTCGCTAATATATCCAAAATATCAAAATACGACTCGCTAAGTAACTCAGTATCTTTGTTTAAATTTAGTCCATTTTTTTGTTCCTTGATATGTAGCATCTCAGAAATGAGTCTTTTATAATAATTATTTTCGTTGTCCATGATCTTAACATTGTCCCAATTAAAAGTATGATGTTCATTTATTATGTGTTCAGAAATTACTGAATGTTTCGTTGAGTCCAACCTAATATTATTTTTATGTTCTTTTATTCGCGTCTGCAATTGCCTCTTTGTTTGGCCTACATAAGATGCATTACAATTATTGCAACTGATCTTATAAACCACATTCGAATTGCATGGATGTTTAGTTTTATCTTTCTGCGCTTTAATAATATTATCCAGTTTGTTGAGACATCTATACCCTACCATACAATTTTTATTTTTTACCGAGGAAACAATCATTTCTGAGATCCCATCTATATACGGAATGACAAAGAATTTTTTATTGACCGAGTCATTTCTTATACTTTTTGTTCTTTCTATGTTGGCCTGTCTCTCTATAATGCTCCCCTTAGATATGATGTGTTCTATCCGATGATTAATTTTGTTAAAAATCAGATCAAGAGGGTAACCATTGCTTCTGAGTATATTAATAATTAACTCCAAATTTTTATTAAAAAATAGTGGATGTGATAGCAATAGACATCTGTCTACAAGGTTATATATTATTCCAATTTTGTGGCATAATGGGTGGTTTGAATAAAATGATAACGTCCTTCCTGAGAAGGTTTCTTTTTGATACCAGTCTATATATATTTTGTTATTAATAATTTTAAGTGATAAATCTAAGAAATTCAAGCTATGGTTAACCTCTTGTTCGACCGTGAATTTAAGTCTTTCATGATAGTTGTTAAAATTATTCACAATCTGAGTCATATTAGTCATAGAGGTGGCCACTATTATGTCATCCACATAACGAAAATAAAACAAACATTCCAAATTCAACGCTTTGAGAACTGTATCCTCAAGATCTTGCATAACCAGGTCTGCAATAATTGGTGATAACGGTGACGGATTGTCAAGAAGAACGATGATAGGTAAGCATACTACCAATTGTAGGGGATACATATTATAATTTGGACATACGTTGATCGGTAATTTTTATTAATCGCAGCGCCTACGGAACGGGTTAATTTCTCGCATATTAACGATGAAACTATCCGAGATCTGAACAAAATCAGGGATCATATCGAGGCGAACATTGTTGGACAGGACGGATTGAAACACGCGTTAATTGCTCAAAAACTCTTGATTCTGAATAACTATAATTAAATTTCGATATTATGTGAATTGTAAGAATTTATATTTCAATAATTATACTGAAGAAGACCGCGTGCGGTCGAAACGTTTATAGAATGATTGTAATTTGCGTTAGTTTTAATATAATGACTGTAGTTTTATAATTTATACATGTAATAAATGGTAGTTGACTGAACATCTCGAATATTCAGCTCGATAAGTTGGCCTTATATTTATCACTTTGTTTTCAATATACGAGCGACAATTGTATTAAATATATTGCATATCTATTACAATTAAAAATAAAAATTTACCTCATTTGTAAGACTATTTTACTTTGTACAGCTAAAATAAAATACGTTACGGATTTTTTATAATTTAAAATTAAAATTTATTTAATATTGTTAATTTGAAAAAAAATTTAATTTTAGTTATAAAAAATCCGTAACATATTTCATTTTAGCTGTACAAAGTAAATTAGTCTTACAGATGAGGTAAATTTTTATTTTTGATGCTCATTGTAGATAGATATATGCCATAGATATATAACCATCAATTAAACAACTTCTATTATATATAAAAAAGAAGTATATACAAGGCAGACAGTTACACTATGTATAGACATTTAACAGACCAACTATGGATATCTAATAAATATATAATTATCTATCAAATAACTTTAATTATACGTTAAAATAAGATATACAAGATGGACATTTTTGCTATATATAGATATTTGATAGATTAAACGTAGATATCTAATAGATATATAGCCGTCTATGAAATATACAAATATATAACTTTTATTATACGTAAAAAAGAGATATACAAGACAGAGAATTACGCTATGTATAGACATTTAACAGATCAAACGTGGCTATCTAATAGATATATAGCGGTTTATCAAATAACTTTTATTATACGTAAAGAAAAGGTATGCAAGGCGGACATTTTCACTATATATAGATATTTGACAGATCAATGTGAATATCTAATAGATATATACGTATTAATTCTAATTCTCTAATATATATATATTAGCTGTAACTGTTCTATGTGGGTAATTACTTATTTTGAGTACTTAAATTACTGTACATATATCAATAATTTAATGATCAAAAATTACTGTATATCAGTAATTTTTTGGTCATTTTCTATAAGCAATAAACGCTGTTATCATGTAAAGCCACATTGTTGGCTTTACTGATATGTGGTTTATTAATCTAAAGAATTTTCTGCATATTCTGTTGTAAAAAAATTCCACCCATGGTATTGCCTGCAAAACGAATACTAAAATGTAATCGAACGATTTAAAAAAATTGTTTATTTTTTTAACATTAACAGCGAACGTTAAATTATAAAAAGATTTATAGGAAACTTAAATATAATATACAAAAACTGTATTTGCTAAAAAATAAACAGTGATAAAGTAATAAATATATAATTAAAAAGAGAAGAATATGCTTGACAATTTAAAATTTAAGCGATAAAATTTAATCTACGAAAAGCTGAAATCATCTAAATAAATCTTATCATTAATTTTCTCGATAATTATATTTATACCGTTGAATTTTAAATCAGTTAATGATATTTTAATAATTTATTTATGAATATTTATATTTTATTGTTCTACATACATTAACAGTGGAATAATAAATAATTGCAATATTTATGCAATATAATATGCAACATAATATGCAATATAATTGATAATGCAATATAACTAATATGTAAAAAATATAAATTTAAATGTAAAAGATGTTCTCAAAATTTCAATGAAAAATTGCCTTAAAATAATTATAAATTTATAGACTTCTTAGAAGACTCGATATATAGTCACGACATATTACGCGCGTTAAATATACATTATGGATCATTACTTGAAACCTGCTTTTTTCATCTGTGATATATCTATCTTTATCTTTTAATTTTAAAATCCTGATTTAATAATTATCTAGCCTTTTCAGGGATCACGTTATCATGTTTTTTTGATACACTATGCCCTAGTAGCACAATCGCATTGGGGCAAAATTGGCAAGCAATAAATAATCAATTTGAATTTTATTATTTGAATTTTATTATTGGGTATAAACTAATTTCTATATTGGTCTGATATTGTAAGGTGTCCGCTCTTTCTTTTTTAGCTAATATTGTATTCTAATATTGGATAAATTATTTTCATTTTTAAACAATATTGACAAATAATAAATATCCAATTTTTAATATTGGATTTGAACTAATTTTCTATCAATGTCCCAAGTAACAAGCTGACGCTATTAAACGTCA